GCCGCCAAAGGTCGCATACAAATGGAGCAAGAGTTTCAAAAGCAAGCAGCGTTATTTATATACATTTGCATATACTATATTACATAGATTTATTTTTAACAACAATTTTATAATTTCTATAACTCTCAATGTTGAATGTGTCATACCATAACTCATGTAAAGTAAATTTACTGTTTAATTATTAATTCATCTAGTGATCAGTGTCAACTCGCAGTTTGAAGAATAATTACTTATTATGTAAAGATAAGTTTCAATAACCGAAAAATATAACAGGTATCCCATACATCGTTTAATATATCTCTTAAATATTTATTTCAGTTTAAGTTCTAAATTATCGCTTTTTTCAACAACGTTCGTAGTTGTTTTCTTTTCGGAAGTATTTTATGCGCAACTACTAAACATAAATTAACGAATTTATTTATAATTATACGTAGTTTTATTTCTCTGCCTTTTCTTATTCGCAATTGATAGTTACACCCCTTTTAAGTGCTTTGTACTTGTCCACAAACGGAAAAATTGTCAAGGCACCAACGAACAACTGATAGAAAAAACTTAAAATTCCGTGTTGACCTGAATTCGAAACAATGCACTCAACTAAGCCAACGCTTGCCTTTTACAAAAACAAACAGCGTTTCATGGAGGATGTTCCATCGTTTGATGTAGGTATATTGACAAACGGCAGTTGTTCCCTGTCATGTGACATATAGCCCAAGCCTGGCTTTGCATTACTGCTACAGTCACGTGCATGTCGCTCAATCCCATGAATCTGCACCCATTAGCTTTTATGACATTTGCAGATCAGCGCTTAAGATTACTTCTGAATATAAATTACATTAAGAATTGTCTTGGCTTACTGTATGACCTTCAACGTTGTTTGCGAGTATTATCAGTGGTATCGTATTACTTTTAATTTACGTTTAATGTCGGTTAAACTGTGCCAAAATTTCGACTTGCGGTAGGTAATTTTAGCTGGTAAGAGGAAGTGGCGCTTAGCACACTGTGAGAAATCATGAAAGTTTTTAGCTTCTGCAGAAAGCGTATATTTCCTCTTTTAAGCCGGTTTGGTTTAAATTTATTCTTGTGCCCGATTAACACACGATGCGGCTATATAACGCTCGAGATTTTGTCGAAACTTTAAAATGAAGTATTGAAAGTATACTCAAAAGTATTGGATTTAAGCAAGTGTGCAAAACTTATTTCTCAGTGCAAGCTTAAGATTCATATTATATCTACGTACGTATATAAAGGGTTTTCCAATAAGAGTGATGTGACAGTAACAGTGTCAACAGCTTCATTTCAAACGAAGTACGAAATGATTTTCCTTCAGACCAAAAACCACATCAAAATGACAATATAGGTGAATGTAATGCTTGTTCATGAATAATTTGAGAATTTGCTACGCACCACTCAGATGAAAGTGAGCCTCATCGGAGAAGATGATTTTCTTAAAAAAATCGTTATCGTTTTCAAGTTGTTTCAAGGCAAAATCAGTATATGCACGACGGTTTACGGTGGTACAGTGGCTTCAATTCTTAATTGAGAACAATTTTATATGTTTGCAAACCCAAATCCTTTCTCAAAATTCGCCTAGTTATGGTTTGAGACAGTCCCAATTCTTGATTCCGTTTTCGAATCGACAAACAACACTTAGTCTTTAGCAACACTTGACTGAACAGCAGCAATATTTTCATTACTTCGAGCAGTAGCGAGCACAGGTGAACTATTATTACGAACATAAAATGGAAAAAGCGCACGAAAAGTTGCAATTGGAGAACGATTATTTTGATAATAAAATTTAATAATTTGAAAATGTTGTTCTTGCGTATATCTTTCGAAATGACAGTTATAAATCATATCATATCTATTGGAAACCCCGATACATGTACATATACATATATTTGTAAATATACACGGCTAATAAATATGCGGTTGCAATTAGAATTGTCCAAAGTCATGCAATATCAACTAAATAATATTAACTGCGCCTTATATATCTACAAGTTCACATGCTGCCAAACCTGATCCATTTACCTACGAGCGCTATCAAGTGCAATGGTAGCGTAGTTGTCGTAATAAAAAAAAACCCGTGTCACAAAGAATGTGTAATACATTTGTACATATGTAATATTGCACGAAAACAACAAGAGCGGCACACCGATGAAGCAGCCAGTCACATGAAAATCGACCTTCATTGCGATACCGTCTGCGGTTCAGCGTTAGCGCGTTCCACCACTGCATTGGCGCACCTAAGCACGTATCGTCACAACAAAGAACGCTGGAACAACATAGCAATGAACGCTTGGTTGTCACTAGCATTGCCGCCGCTGCCGTTGCTCCGCTTGCAGCAGTGATGCTGCGTCCGTTCTATTGCAATGCGGTTTGCCTTCCGTCTTTGTCTTTCCAATGTGACGCTGTTTTGCTCAACTTTAGAAATATATATGCACGATCGAGTGTCTGCCAGTGCTTTGATTAGTTTCGCATCTTCAAGCCTCCTCAATTCTTCACAGTTTCATCATATATGGTACTTGTTTTTATATAACATCATCTATAAGCACCTTTAAGTTTGTCTGCTGTATGCATTTGTTGTTGGATTTAATGACAGCAACTTGCTACATTGAATTCAAGTGACCCCAAATTGCAATACACACACAATACAACGCATAACACTTGTGGTGTGATCGTGTGCTGTGACCATTATTTTCATGATCAAAGTCATTTAGTTATGGCAACGCATTTCTGTTGCATCGACAAAAAGTAGCAGTGGAACTAATACAGAACAAGAAAAACAGCCTAAACTCCAGGTTTGAGAAATTTCATTTGTAAGAATGATGTTAAAGTGGGCGTTTATTGTAAACCCAAAGAGATCGGGACATTTTTAAAGTTTCCTGTCCTAACTTCGAAGATCCAAATTGCTTCTCGTTAGCGCAGCAGTTGTTCAAGGTCACTTTACAGCATACGGACCTCATCAATGCGACCAAAATTTTCATACTTTCCTATATTATACACTTTCTAACCACAAACTAACCAATAGACACTGCGCGATCGACTTGACACATAGAGTTGTTGCAATCGCTGGTTTCAGATATGTGACTGTCTGCGCGCTTATTGAATGTCAAGATTTAATGGAAACCCACACTTAAATGTTTGTGAAATGTAATTATAATTGTAATTCATTGATAATGCATTTAAAAGCTACATAAAAACAAGAGAAACAGTGGTAATAATATTGGGGTGTGATTGTTCATGTGAATAGCCAGCAAGTTTCAGGCAAAGCGGCTGTCTTCCGAAAATTGCACCATCACACTACAGTGACATAAGATATTATGCATTACGACTGTGCAGGTTCAGCACTTCGCATACCTAGTGTGACCGAAACGACGCCGCAACTTGCATGGCCGACGATTAACTCGCTTGGGAAATAAGCGAAGCTGTTGCTGCAATTGCCAATCGCTGATTATTTCGAGGTGAAACGAACGCATACAAAAACCAGCCTTAAATTCATTCCCGAAGTAATTTGACCGAATAGTTAGTAGTAACTCTTTGAAACTATCTAGCATGTGGGCATGGTCCATCAGTTTATTGCGTTTGACGTTTAGTTTTTGGTGGCTGCGCATCATTTACTCGTCATACGTTGCGAGTTCTTGTATATTTCTACAAAATCATATAAACCGCAAGTCATCCCGTTGATGAGCCGCGGTTTCAGTTGCACGCAAAATAATGTGGGGTAAAATATAATATGTTGTTGCTATTTGCCTAGCATTATTGTTATTAATTTGATTTCGGTGGTTTGTTCATATTCAGCAACTCATTTGGGTGCTCTACGGGCCAAAGTATCACCTTCGATTGACAAGACTGTGGTCTATAAGTATTTATAGTCTACGAGCACATACATACATGTGTATATTGGTAGTAAATTGAAAAACAGTTTAAATTTGAATTTGCAATGCACACTCGTATCGTTTGTTAAGTATTTGCTTACTACTTGAGTGTCTATTGTTGCGGTGTTAATGATTGGGGTGTAATGGCTTGAGATATTGATATTTAAATTTAAATGCGTTTTTTAATGTCATGGTCAAATGCAGATGTTTGAAAATATACACTTTTTAGCTTGGAACTTACAGTTAGAAGCAGTCACTCTGAGAGACAGCTATTGCTACTACGTACTTTGTAGATTTTCTTTCATAAATCACAATTGCATATGACTTCTCCAAAAATTTTTGGTTTCTGTCGAGAGTATAAATTGGCAGCCGATTATTACATTAAAATATTGAAACATGTAGCTCTTCGAAAAAATATTTTTATCTCATTTCTCTTAACACCGTAAATACAGCGTTTATTTTCAAACAAAAGTTTTCCTACCATGTCTTCTTTTAGTATGTCAATCCCAGTAACTGATTTCCTTCGAAAGCATCTGAACTAACGCTAAAGGCAAACAAAAGCGTCCATGACCTCAGCAATCATTTTATTTCATTGACTTTTAGAATGGTTGTTGACCTTAAAAAAGCTAAAGGTATAAAAAAGGGTCATTGACCACAGGAAAGGTTGTTGGCGGTAGTAAAGTTCATTGACCTCTAAAAGGGTGGCTGACCTCACTAAAGTTAAACAAAAGGATCAGTGACCTCTGCAAAGGTCCTTTACCTTAGGAATGATTGTTGACCTCGGCAATCATTTCATATCACAGACCTCTAGCAGAGTGGTTGTCCTCGCTACAGATAAGCAAAGCGTCATTTAGCTCTGCAAGGGTCGTTGACCTCTAGAAGGGTTGTTAACTCTACTAGTGTAAGACTGAGGAAAAATTCAATATCCAAAAGCTGCTACGTTAAATTCGCTTCGCTAATATTCGATAATTTCGTTATATTAACCATAGTTTGTGTATATTATATACCTATAATCTGAGCTGCGGTTTGTGCAAAAAAGTTTATTTTTTTTTTAAGCATTTTCATTTCACTCATAAGAAACAATACAATATAACTTAAAATATAGAAAAAAAAGTTTTCGATATTCGACGAAAATAACTTGAGAGAAGCAACATCGTTTTCTAAAATTGACACTTATGAAAAAAATAAAAATAAACAACTAATTTACATAGTGGCGTACCGATTTTTATTGGAAGTTAAAAAATTTAGTTTAAAAAAATTAGCATTTAATTCAGTAGAAAAAATTTAATATTTTTATATTCGTTTTTTAATCTGCACATTTGTGACGAGCAGACACGCAAAACATGGATCTCACCAGCAACTCGAAGCGAAATTCGCAGCAGTGTTGGTTGCCGCAGAGACGTTCGGCGAGCGTCGACGATGACGATAACGTGAGCAACAATTCAGTGAGCTCCTTCAATGTGCTGCTGACAGCCGCCTCCGATTCGGAGTCGCATTCTCCGGTCAGCGTGCGTGACATGATTAAACGCTATGACACAGTGGCCAAGTTGGGCACAAAAGGTGGTGGGCGCAGTCTGAAACAGCAGCAATATAGCTTGCCTGCAATGAAGTCCGCATATTTCGGTGTGAATAATTTCGGCACCCATACGCTTTCGCATCGTTATCCCTCGCGTCACTATGTGACACAGAAGAAGGAGGAGGATAAGGATATTAAATCTACGCAAATCAATCGTGGTAGCGACCACAGTAACAGCGCCAAAATGAAAAACAATTGCAAGCCAAACAATAATACTTTCACAACGAAGCAGAAAACGGATGCAATGGATGACTCTTGCTTCGTGCGAGAACGTCATGTCTCTTTGAGCGATGGTGAAAATATCTATGTTGCCGATCACACCAGGCGCACATCTAGGTTAGTGGCAGAGTTTTGTGTGTACTCGTATCTAAAAGTGTTATATTGTTATGAATATTTAATGAAAAAGGTCGCCGGCTCGCGATGTAGCAGATGCCACAGGCAGTTTAGAGGAGAATGTGCCAGATGGTAAAGATTGGCCGGCTGTAACTGAGAGCATCGAAAATGCGAATTTTCAGCCAATGGAGACTTCTTATCAGAGTAAAACGACTATTGCAAAGACTGCCGGGGGTGAGTAAATGCAAATTGCTTATACTTATGTATATGCGTGCCGACAGTTGGCGTGAGAGAAACCGTAATTGTATTGAAGAATATAATATAAAAATAAGCTACCCAATGAAAACCCTGTGAAATTGTCTTTCAGAGTATTTTTGAGGTTGATACTTATGTAGGTGTTCCACAAAATCTTATTTTGCAGGCTTTTCGATTTTAAGAAACCATATATTTCAAGGAGAAAAAATTATGTAAAGAGTGGGTCGTGGAGCTGATATGAAAAAAATTCATCTGCTGTTCGGGCCTTTTAGAAAAGTGGTAAAAATTTCATGTGGCACAAGGCTTCAATAGTTGACTTATTTATTATTTGGAATAATAATAATCACTATTTATATACTTGCTATATATACTTAATATACATATTACTTATACTTGCATAATATATAAAGAACTAAAAAATATTGCCAGTAACTAAACCTAGTTTAGGTTAGGTTAAAACGTAGATCTAAAAACCGATCCCATTTGGACAGCTGAGGACGGCGGTCTATTGGGATACCTAAATACTTCTAAGTGTTAATAGAAAAGGCGCTCAAAAATCTACAAAGCGCTTTGACCCTGCCACAAATTTGTTGAGACGACTGATATCAATTCCGGCTATTTCGCCGAATTGCCGAAGATTTGACTTCTGACTTGTTCCAACCTCAGTCTTGCAAAAGCTGGACAATGGAGGAAAAAGTGCCTGAATGTTTACACAAAAGCGTCCGACAAAAATATTCAACCTTACCGCATCAACGCCTATATGGCATTGTAAATAAGTAAAAAGTGCAAGATAAAGGAAGCCTGATCATGTTTCAAGTTGCATGTGAAAGAGCACCTGGGTACAGATAACCGTATAACGGTTTAAACAAATATGAAATTTTGTAGCATTTTCACTAAGCTATTTTTACTTCGAAAGGGGTTTAAAATAATGAAAATCATTATTCATCATTTTAATTTTTCCTAAACATTTCATTCCAGGTGTCCGCATTATTATCGACATTTTTTTCGATCAAGAGCAACAGCCAGTATCCGCCACCGATGTTGTGGGCAGTCGCGTTGAAACGGACATCCCGCAGAGTCGTATACTCAACGAATTCCAGCAGCAAGCCGCTGAACTAACACGCAACTAAATGCGACCAGTCATTGCGCGTGCGAAGTGCTTTCAAGAACCCTATGACAAAGTCGGTCAACCAAGCTACAAAAATTGTTTTATACAACTGGAAAACAAAACTGGTGGAAGCACTATGGATTAGCGGCCAATGGGATGAGTCCAAATCTTAGTTCTTTATTTTGAATTTTTTTAAATCAACAAACGTTTCGGCATTTTTAAATGCTTTGAATTTATTTCTTAAAACTTTATACTAATTCACTTGCCATAAGCAATTTCGCAATGAGAATGCATGTCACCAAAGAACATAAATTGTTTCAAATTGCTGTTAGAAAAATAAAAATTGCAAAACTTCTAACAAAGCCCCAAATATTCTCAATTATTTAGACCAGCTATTAAAGTATTTTAAGGAATGTTGCGCTAATTTTCAAAAGAAAAAAGGAAAAATTTTGAGTTACTAATAAATTGCAATGAATTTAGCACAATGATTATAAGCGGGAATTATGCATCAATAACGAACAGAGAACAAGCTTTGTCTTTAAAAATCATATTATATTGTACAGTTATGTTTGCGCAATACAGTTGCGCGCATGGCTACAAAGTTGTTAATGATATTGACCCTACACGCCCTCTTGTGACCAAGTCCCCTTTGCTGCCGGGGCATATGCCGCTTTGAACATTAAGTAGCTGCATTCGCCAACTGGACGCACAGAGCTGACACCGAACCTCAAACAAATATCATTGGAGTGCGCAAGAGTGACAAGCATGAAGTTTATAATAGAAAAAACATTGAATTTCTCTTTTGTCTTTCGCCTTTGGAGATTTTTTACTTTCACGTATGCATTTTAGCGCGATAGTTCGTGACATGGCGAACTAGTGTGGCAATCCTCTCATGTACTTTGCTTTATAGTGTCTTTGCGTTTTTTCCTTGCCAGTGGCGAAAATGTGCCTGGTCGTGTTGTTGATGCTATTTTGAATTTTTTTTTTCACAAATGGTTATCCAATATTTAATCTTAGTTACTTCTACGTGCATATAATCTGCATGTATTTACATATATAAAAGCAAAATCAGTTTTGCGGTTCCAAAACTCATGAACTGAACAAGGAGTTTTGGTGAGCTTCGAACGGCTGCCCAATCAAGTTGGAAGTGAATGAGCTGAAAGCTGTCTTTTATTTATTGTTTCTTTGAACAATCAGACGATTCTTCGGACGGCATTTAATAAATTTAGCTAGTGAGTGCAAAGCTTATTTGCAACAAAATCATGAGAGTTATCACTTTAGAAGCAATTTTGTGGAACTTCGACATGGATGTAGAATACTTAAAATAATTTCAGTGTGTGAGACATCATGGCTTAAAACAGCTTCTGTTCATATTCAGCTGCTTCACCTCGAGCCTAACCATTCACCTACGCGATGATTTGTGCGGAGAACTTCGAATTTAGAGCTTATAAATCCTTTCTTTGCTAAACTTGTAACTGCCAAAGGCGCTTACGTTCGGAAGGCGCGCATGCACTCCAAATTGTAGAGACGTAATTCATTATGAGATCGTTGGCAAATTGATTCAAATTACACATTTAGCAGCGGGCATTTGAGTTGGTAATTTATGGTTGCAGCAAATGGATGAGAAGCACAGGCTGTGGAGTAATTTTGGCAATTTTTTAAGCAAATATTTGAAGATATGCCATATTCTTTATGTTTTCGTTTTCATTTCTGTTACAGTCTGTACGAAAACAATGAGTTTCATCACTGTGCGCTCTAACCGCCGCAAATAGGAAGAAGACAAACAAAAGTCAAAACATTTTTGTGTTTTGTAAGTGGAGATTCAAGCAAAATACCATTTAATGAGCTCCACACAAATTAACACAATTGCTTTTACTTATTTGCCTCTGCCATTTGACACGCCGAAATGAAATAAAAGCCAAGTGAGAACCGTAACGAAATGCAAACAAGCAAACTGCCCAACAGGAGACAAACAATAATACGAAAAAATCAACAAAAACAATATAACAATATTAGCAACATTGTTTGTATGCGTTGAAAAGATGCGCGATCCAGCACAATGCAACACCCACTGCGTCCCACATTGCCTTTGATTCGCCCATTTTTTGATGTGCCACAGTAAATTTGATTTCAGCTTTTTTCTTGTGTTACCCGTCGTTTTTTCGGTCTGCTTTAAATACTCACGAAACTAATTTAATGCATCACCGACATCGCGGCCAATATTGCTGGTTCATGTGCGCATGGTGTGTGTGTGCGTGTGGCGACAGCGTCGACAAAAACAGACGTATCAGCAGTAAACAGAGCTCAGTTGCCGTTGTCGGCAACGTATAGCAGCTGCTGCCCCGCAATGTGCAGTGCAACAGCCACTAGCAAAAAGGGCTCAATGGGCCACAAGCAATTGCAAGAAACTTCGGGCAGGCAGTGATGTGTTGTGATATACTAACTCGTTGCTTTTGCTGATACTGTGCGTTTGCGCAACCGCAGCGCCGATGTCAATGTATCAGCAAGAGTTGCGGCAACCACGACGGTGGCGGCAGCTATGCAAAACAAATAACTCCCGCAACATGGCTCGTCTGCGCCCTCACCCACAGCGGCTGCTGTCGACGACATGGAAGCATTTCGTATGTACCGACATTTCTTTGCAACTCCAGCTTAAATGCTCCTCTGCTCTACTAACAATTACTTTAGTTTGCCTCATTTCCTTTCGCTTTGGTCGGTCACAAATAGGTTTTCTGCCAATTTTGTTTTTCGGCTCGCAGTGTGTGTGCCGTGTGTGTATGATAATCACATTTAATGCATTTGGTAATCTAATTCCAATGGCTCGGCTGCTGTAAAGTAATAACGGTAGCAAATTTCGGCTGCATGAATATGCAATAAAATTGATTATTCCATTTTTTAAATTGTTTCCTACTTTTTTAACACACAAATTTGGAAATCTCTGGTTATTTGGGTTTGTGAAAACGTGTATTGATATGGCTTCATCGCCATTGCTGTTGTAAATTAGTTAGCTTATATCGATATTTTAAGAAATGGATTTTGATACGAGCTCATATATATATGTATATATAATTATACTTTGAACAAGCCATGGATTTTATAAAACCCAGAAGAAAACGTCAGAGTCTCTATAAAGTATATATATGTAGGTATTGTAGGTATAAATGATCTACGTGAGCAGCTGAGTCGATTTAACCATGTCCGACTATCTATATATGTATACATGAACTAGCCTAACTTTTCAATTTTGTATATGTTTTTTTCTCCACAAGAAGCTGCTCATTTTTTGGAACTGCTGATGGCCGACCACTATAACATACAGTTGCCATACAAACTGGCCCATCAAAAAGAAATTCTTCTATGGAAAACTTTGATATTTGAGAAAATATCTTCATAAATTTTGGCATATTTTATAATCTAAGGCAAGACTCAATTCCCATAGTGCCTTAGTGTTATATTCTGTACTCCTCAGTAAAATTTTAACAAACTAATTTTAATTAGATTCACAACAAAACATTAAATTGAAAACTCTGTATGCATTTCTAAATTTCGTTTCAGCGCAAACAATTTTGTGTTGTTTTGTCTCTTTGTCGCTATGTCTTTTTGTAGTTTAAAAGCAGTGCGCCGAGAGTCAAACATAAATCACGGCAATGCGTACATAAATATCATCCCATGAAACTGGATTGACAGTCGAAAATACTCTCGCTAAATTAAAATACTGTCATAATTCTTGCACATGTTGTTATAATCGATAGAATGCTCTTCGCCTGAACTTGTTATTAGCAGGTTTACCACCGCCGTTGACACGGCGTTAGCTGAGATACTACCGGACAGACATAAGTTTCACGTGTTGTTATCCTCTTTCTTCTAACACACACATAGTTTCTGTAGCTACTGGAAAGAGCTGGTTCTCACATTAAAGCCATTGAAATATGCGTCAATTCAAGTAAAATCATTTTTTGCTTGCATAAAAAAGAAAAATAAGAAACTTGGTATGAAACTCTGCCATGTGCAAAAGTTGTTTGCCGTTATTTGTATGAACTGTGTTTCTTTTTTTTATTTAAAGCAGATTCTTGATAGTTTAGCTGCTGGTTTTGCGACAACACGAAATCAAAGCGGCTCGCTCCCACAGTTGTAGGTTTTCGAAGATAATGCAGACGATATGCAGAAAACAGGCATACATACGCACACATGTATATATACATATATATAAATTGTATTTTAAGTTGTCTATTCCATATATATATTTTCTTACAAATATTTTTAGTTGTTTTTGATTTACGATGAAGCTGCTCAAACCTGCGCTGCTCTCGGCTAATAAAGTGGTAAGTTTGTGAGTCAGCATTCTGATAATAATTACAGCAACACTGATCGCGATCACGGCAACAACAACCAAAATATTTACATAGCATAGTAGTGGTATTTTGATGTGCATTTTACAGATTAACAAAAATACATAATAAAATAAACGAAAGGCGGATTGGAATGAAACGGAAAAAACGTTAACTTCGGTTACACTGAAGCTAGAACACCCTTCACAAGTAAAAAAGTTTCCACACAAGAACCTGATTTTGTATGATTGACTTGTTATCAATTTCGGTCAATTCGGTTATTTTCGTGCGATTTGTATGGCAGCTATATGCTATAGTGATCCGATTTGAAAAATTTCTTCGGAGATTGTAGAGTTGTCTTCGAAACTATTCTATGTCAAATTTTGTGAAAATATCTCCTCAAATAAAAAAATTGTTCATACAAAGACTTGATTTCGATCTTTCAGTTTATATGCCAGCTAAATATAATATGTATATGCTATAGACCTCCGATTAAAAAAAATATGTTCGGAGATTTATAAATAAGTTTTCCATACAAGAACGTGATTTTCAGCATTCAGTTTGTATGGCAGCTAATGTGGTTCGATATAGGCGGTTCTTTAAAAAGAGCAACTTCTTGTGGAAAAAAGGACGTGTGCAAAATTTCAGATAGATATCTCAGAAGCTGAAAGACTAATTCGCTTTTATACAGACAATCGACTAAATCAACTCAGCCCAGCATTCTATTCATTTATATATCTATATATATATATTTTATAGGATTCTTGACAAGCTTAATATACCCTGTTTAGGGTATAAAAAATAGATATGATTAAGGCAAGTTAGTTTTGATTGAAAAATGTTTCGTACATCTACAGTTATCATTGAATGCATCCAAAACATTTGTGTATATACACTACGTCAAATGAACGCAGCCAAAAAAATCAACTAAAGATGATATGCACACTGTCAAAACCGTTTGCTGTCATTCAATTTAATATACAAATATACATGTAAATTAGTGAATGGCACTCCAATTAATCAACCCACTCGAAAAAATGTCAAATAAGCGCTTTTTACGCAACAAAAATCGGCGTTATAAGCGGCTACAATCGTCTTTAGTATGATAGACCAAGTGCACAATGGCCCTGAAATCGAAGTAACCGACTAACAAGGAGCTTTTTGTGGTGCGGCAAGTGACACAAAATCACTGCAAAATATAATTAACAACAAAATATGGCGATCCATTCATTTACGCATAGCCAATGTTGCCACCCGCGCCGCAAGTTCGTTGAATTTACTTTCGTTAATTGTTGCATGTGTGCGGTTTTGCGATTTTTGGATGCCAATTGACTCCAATCAAACAAAAGCAACAGCAGCTCTTGCGGTCACCAAAAATAACATAATAGAAAATTACTCATCAATCAGTTAATTGCACCAAAAAAAGTCTAATTTTAGCTGCTTTTCACCAAACATCGACCGCAAAAATAACATAATCAAGTAATGAAACACCTTTTGTTTGTAATTGTTGCCCTGTGGCAAGTAAAAAAAATAAAAAATAATGACTTTGGCTGATTTTTAATCTACGCAACACAACAAAATCACACGCATACACGATGGTATGTACATACCTCCAGCAGCTTGCTGTTCGTGATTTTCGCATTATTATGTTTTATTGCTTTTAATTTTTTTCGCACCACCCACATCAAACATAGTATACCATCAACATAAAATCGAGAGTATTTAATCGCCATCGAAGGTGAACAGCACACTTCGTTTTTGTTGTTGTTGTTATTTTTTTACAAATGACTCGCGTAAAAGACAGTTGTTGGGAAAGGTAATGTCACCAGTCAATTTAAGCCGCTGAAGCAGCAACAATTAGTTAGATGTAACATAAATAAACATCATTGTGGCAACAAGTTGCTGGCGAGTTGAATGTTTATAGGCGATGAGATAGGCATTTATTTGATAAATCTCGCATATCACTGCCCTAATGCATATTAGTGAGCATATACTTATACATAGCTACACTGATGGCTAAAAGATCGTTGCAACTTGCAATAGTAGTAAAGCAACAAATGGCAACTGTAGTTTTGCTCAAACTCCAACATTCTGGAAGTTGTAAAAAAGTTTGCACAAATTTTTTCTTTCTCTGCTTACACTGTATAAGTATTTGTTAAACTATTTTTATGTTCACATAATTCCATATCTCTGACAAGTGATTACCACTTAATGATTTAGTGTTAACCTACCAAACGAAAGACTTAAGCAACAAACTTCGCTTTACTATCGTGCTTAAACTGCTAGTAAATAAATCGAAGAACTCTTCAACCGGCTTAAATCTCCACTAATAAAAGAACATTTGCAAACTCACAACTCTCGCGCCCACACACACACACACACACATCGCTCTCTAGCAAGAATCCAACACTTCACGGACTTTCTCAGCTCAACGCGCACACACGCATACTATCATTTGAGCAAGCGCTTGTTTTTCGCATTCAAGCAGTGGTAGAGATATGAAGAGCAGCAACATTACCTTTGTTGCTCGTTGTCTGCAACAATTGCAACCACTGCCACATGCTTGCTGAGGCTGTAATGTAGCTGGCTTGCGGTTTGCTACTTTAACGCTCTTTGACACTGCCGCTGCCGCCGCTACTGCGCGACTACAGTTCATCTCTACTGTTCGGAGCGCCTTTTCACTTTGTTGCGCACATGCCAACTCATGCCAGCGGCATCTGCTTGAACATCTTGCTTTGCCTTCTGACCTACTGCTGGCGTACATGTATGTGTGTGCTGAGCGCTTGTGATGCGGCGGCGCCTTGTGGATTTTTATGCCCAAATGTGCATGAATGAAATTTCAGTTCTTGTCAAAAGCTCGAAACGAACGGTTGTGCGCTTCCAATAATTGCGGCTCGCGTTAACTCACAAATTAAATAAAATAACTTTTATGCCGTAATATAATCGGGCGAGAAATTTTTTCGTATAAACTAAGAACTATTAATTTTTCTTTATCGATTTAGGCTGTGCCCAAAAGTGGTTTTGGTGCTAAGCATTCAATGCGCTTAAGGAAATTTTAACAAAGCATTATGTCAAACTTTGATTTAAATAAACTTTAGACAGAGAAATAGCTTCCTTTCGAGGAAATTTAGAACATCGTGTACATACCCTGAATAAAATACATTAACTCGCTTTCATCGCCCGATCGCCATGCCGTTCACACTGTTTCACGCAAACTGATGTGCCGCAGTTTTGTGCTGAGCATATGGGCGAAGAGGTGCGTGTGTGTTTGTGTTTGTGTAATGGAGGTGCCCCAAAATGGAAATGGTTAAAATGAAAAATCGCATTTTTGTGCAAATGCTAACACGTTTTCCTTGGCAATAATGTTCGCGGCGCCCACAACACAACGCAAAACGAAATTAAAACAGCATTATGACAACAACAATAACACACAGCAATAGTGCTTTAACAGATTTAGTCTGGCGGGCAAGTAAATTGGCAGACAAGAACGCTCCTCATTCGTTCGAGTGATCGCATCTTCAAAGCTTGGCGCTCAAGCTGCTGCCGGCGTCGTCGATTTGTTGTTATTTTTATTATTGTTGTTGTATTTTTAATGCACTTTTCGCGTTGCATTCGCAGTAAAGCAAACTTGCTCAGTAATCGGCCGACTAGCACTCGCTGGCTGTGGTCTTTTGCACTTTAAACGCTTCACGCGGCGCAACAACAAATGCGTCGAAGTAGCAAACAAGCTGTGAGGCCAGTCACAATATCATATTTGTCTCTGAGAATTTGTATTTTTTCGCTTTTCCAACAACTTCTGTTTACTCTTCATAAAACAAATTTGCAAAAGTTGAGGAGTTTTACTTTAGTAATAGAGTGAACGCCCCAAAATATTTCAGTAAGCTGGAAATGTTGACACGTTAATTTCCAAAGTAAGCACTACACTTGAGGAAAAATTGTAAATTTATGTGACTGCTGGTCCTTCTTGTTGCAATTTTTGTTGGTAACTTCTTTTATCTTAAACTTTTTTCTCTCAGCCCACTTGTGCCTATATTATTGCCATTGTGTCCAGCAACAATGCAGATTTATTTGTGTGTTTGAGTGAACCCAGTCACATGATTCTTTGCATTCCCATTTGCGAAATATCTATATACACCCTCAAAACTCACGAGTTTCCACAAACAATGGACTATTCAAAAACAAAGTTACAAAGTGTTCTTTCGCGCGCGCAAAATTCTCAAGTGTTGTTGTGAAAAAACCTTAATTGTTCAAAATTTAAATATATTGTATATATTTTTTTCCTATACACCTTACAATAGATATTGAATGGAGCTATCATGTACTAGGAGAATTATCTGAATATAAATAGAGGAATATTTCTAGAAGTTTGAGGTAAGTTCGAAATTAATTTTAACTAATTATATATTTTTACATTTTATTAATAATCCTTAATGAAGTTTTACTCAATTTTGATTTTAAAATTTTCAATAATTATGGTATAACCGTTTTTTTAATTTTCGAATCTGAAGCCAAAGAGCTGGAGAGTTCATATTGTTTTAAAGAAAAACACATGTTTTGCAAAACTTCAACTGCATTATTCACGATTGTTGCTACTGAAGATTAAAAGAAATAAGATTCAAAATATTAACAAAAATGTGTTGAGTCGATCCGTAAAAGATGTATTTAGCGCTCTGATGCCAACACGATTATTTTCAAGCGCCGTTTTTTTTAGGTTTTTCGATGATATAGTCAGAGCTGCATGGACAACTCGCATGAAGCAAGTTTGCGATGACTTCATGACCTACACTGAATGCTTTGTGCCACTCAAATACTTATGTTCGTGATAAAGTAGACTCCCTAAAACACTTATGCAAAATTTTCAACGACTTCAAAGCCGTGATTTCATAAGATACAGATATTTTCAAGCAAACTTGTTGTTTAATTTTTTTTTTTTCATGGTAAAAATTGTCATAAAAAATTGTCGGTCGTAAACAAACAGCTGATAAACATGCACTAAATGAAATATGAAGATCAAACTTTTCACGAACATAAAAAATATTTACTAATCTAGAAAAAACATTGTATCGTTTCGGCTTGCTTCAGTTTAAGTGAACCAATCCGGTTCAAATCTGATCAGATTTGTTTGACGTGTAGGTCCATAAAATTCAATGTCCTAAAGTCCTAGATATCTAGCGCGCATTAAGTCTATTTGGCTAATATTTCGTTTATAGTACTAAGTTATTCCCATAATTCTTGTAAAATACAAAATTTATAACAACGAGTTTTTAATTACTTAAAAACAGGAAACTAAAATTATTAATGGTTTTATATCGACAGTTGCCAAAATAAGGTGTGATATTTCTGACAGTAAAGAGACCTTCCTTATGCTTGCGAAAGCTTGGTGGCAGAAAAACTGTCAAAAAATACAGCAATAGCTTCCTCATTTCTTAATATGAATTATGATTAATTTCGATAACGATAAAGTTATAAATAAAGTAATAATAATAATAACTTGTGTAATGAAAAAAAATTAGACTACATTTGCTTATGGCAACTCGGCTATTTACTACTTTTCATATGAATTTCCTCACCAATGTTCGTTCCCACAAGTACAATAATTGTTGAAGGCTACAGAAAACTTAAAAATTAAAAATACAATAAAACAAAGTTTCAGCATAAAAGTGATTATTACGTGAAGGTATTTGAATATAACGGTTTAAAAATATATTGTTTCCCACTTTCCAATAGTTTCCAACCACACAAAATATAAAAAATATTAAATTAACTTAATAATAATAAAAAATTCAGTGCAAGCTCTTCTCTTTATTAATGTAAACTTAATAACAAATACAAACATTTAAAGAAATACACTATATGTGCATATATAAAATTGATTGTATAATGTTCGAACAACAAATTTGTCATTACACGCTAAATTACTTTGTTTGACATTTCCTTTATATTTTTATTATAACATTTGCAGTTCTTTTACAAACAGAAATTTGAGTCTGAGAAATTTAAGTTTAATACTTTCTCAGCACAGTAGCGATGTACATTTTTATGACCGACATTTATTTGAGATCGTAACAATACTCTAAAAAATTATGCTTTTTGAAAGTGTTGAAGTTCGAAAACCATTTGTTTTTACGAGATTGCATAATTGTTTAATTAATCTGAATGATGTATGGCGAATAGTTTAATAAATATTTCTTGCAGAATATAAAAAAAAAAAACTATTATAGAGAAAAACTCTGGGAATTAATATAAAGTATAATATTAACTTGGCAATACTTAGCAATTCATTAAACTTAAATATCTATTAATTTCCATCAACAAACTGACGAAAAACAATAAAGACCTCATTATTGAAGTATTTGCTCTGCTTTCCGAGAATTGCATAATTTTGATGCAATGCCACATACACGATGACCATTTACACCCACAATCAGCACTCGCTGTTTTTATTACATTTACAAATACATATATACAAGTATATTCATATGTGTACGCTGCTGTAAGCATAATTGATATTTAATCACTTCCGGGACGCATATGTAACCTGTTGAAAATTAATTACTAAATAATCATAGAAACATTCAAAGCAGATAATTTATGTAACTGTACTGAGACCACACAGACGTATTGAATGAGGCATCGAGTAGCTTTTCACCTAAGCGGAGATCAATGCAAGTGGCGAGTTGGGCGTTAAGACTCACCCTACTTCGTTCGTTACAATCGAAAGAGTTGAAAAAGTTATTGAATCATTAAAAATAAATATTTGTGTACAGTAATAAAAAAGGCGATGTAAATGTTGGTCAATTAAATTGTGTGAAATGAAAGCTCATGTGCAACATTACGACATCATCCCTATTCCACAAGCTACGCTGTGCTTTTGCAAAAACGTCTTATTAATTTTCAATAGGGTTTTTGTTATTACAATAGAGTAATTCATTTTGCTTTAACTTGAGCTCCTTTTAGGTATGTGGGTTTCATAACTGCCGCTGGTGTTACTTTTCTATTGTTCTCAGCTTTTCAAAGCCCAGCGAACGAGTGTGAAAGGTCAGTAAACCAAAACAAGGTGCGGGAAAAATCGAAAAATATTCAAAAAAACAACCTAAACACGAACACGAGCAGAATAGCGCATACACCGAGGTACATATGTACTTATATGATTTATTTGAGTAAAAAAGCGAAAGTCATTAGTCTGCAAATAGTCGCAATAGTGGCTTCGTGCTGCTTCTTCAGTTTTATTTTTTATTTTTTTGTTTTTATGTTGCTTTTCATTAAAACATTAATTGAAGCTTAAGGGGGTCGTGCGAGATGGGTGTGTGAAGATATTTAAGATTTGTTTTAGTAATGTTGTTATGTGTATCATTACTCATGCAAATATTGTATTTTTTTTTAATCGCCGGAATGGAACTGTTAAACTAATAACCTAGTTTCCATAAAACCAAACATCACTGATGGTTGCGTTGAGATGGGTCAGACATAAATAGAGGTTTATATAGCCTGTGGTCTAAAGCAGACGGATCTATTGCAATAAAAGTTTCATTGCTAAACTTGGATTCTATTGTCTGCTAATGCATAAAGTTGAATAATGGTTGTTCCAGGGATTTGGTTTGGTTCGGTTCAAACTTATCTGATCAAAGTCAAGATGAAAATATTTTTATACCCTGTTATGCTATTGGAAGCGGATGTGTGAAATCGGTTAATATTTTTCCTTACTTATTGATTACTCGGTTGTTTTTCAACACTTTTGTCACTTGAAAATTAAAATAACATATTTTTTTTTTTGATTTTCTACAGGCAAATGCAACTCCACAATGCTCGCTTATTCTTTAGTCGGACCCTTCTAAATGATTATACGTACAACATGAACAAATCGACAGCCGACGTTGCGCAGTTTTAACAGCCATCTCATTTTCCGGTATTTTATTAACCAATAAACAAAAATTCGATTCGAAGTATATTAAATTATAACGGCTCGCAAAAAAAAAATCAAGCTGAAAGGTTTTCTCAGATACATAATTCTTTGTGAACGAAACAAAAGCTAAACACATGTGCAAATACAATAATGTAGAGAAGCCTTTATAACGAGCTTTGCTCGCTGCCTAGAAAAAGACTCTTCTTTAATCTGGTTGTATTGTAAATATTGCCAAACGTTTATTCATTGTGGATAATATTTGTTCAGTCTTTTTTACAAGCAACTTGATTTGTATATATGTATATTAGTGGAGAAAAGTTTACGCAAGCAAGGATGGGGATAAATGTGGTGTCATTGCATATTTTTTAGGTAGCACCGAAGGCGTGGCTTCCAACTTAGTCTAAAAATATGATATTGCTTTAATGAGTCCCCGCTGAGCATGGCGACACTCTCAACACGACAGCGGTCCTGATGTTATACCTAGTTACCTCTGTCATAAGAATTGCGTTTTCTTATACTTACTATAACGGTGATTTGACGCTTATAACCAAAGTGAACATTTTGCAATATCAAAATGTTAATCAAAGCGGAATTATTGCAAGCATGCTCATATTTGTAACAATTTTTGTTTCACTTAAATGTAATACCAACAAACTACACCGAAACATATTACATACATTACTGTACACGAGCTTGAGAAAAAGAAGACTTAAGCAGAAAACTTGTCTGAAATATCATCGCATTAACATGCAAATGATCGAATAAACTCATGCAAAGTCTTACAGCACATGACAGTTATGAATACGAAATTTACTAGTAATGGCCAGCGCACTGAAATCCCACTAAGGTAAGGTGCGGCCGAATTTCACAGAGCACCAAGACGGTGCCAGAACACAATTAGACGCGCAATGCTGAGAGTGTACATAACGGAACTGCTAGTAAATGCAGCATATGGTCACCTTAGAATTACAGAAATATAAGTTTGTTCTGCGTCTAAGTCAATAGGAATCTCTCTAATTAATAGCGCTCGCATTATTGTCGCTTGCTCCCCACTCTGCCACAATATACGAGTACAATCAATACTAGAAATTTAGCGGCATTTCACTAAGCAATTAATGAGCTTACCGCTTGCGGCGTATAGGAGGTGATGTAATCAGATTTTCAGCAAAAACCGCTGCTGCCACTGCACAAGTACAGTTAACTAGCAACGCTTGCGTTTTCATATTCATTTGTCTGCAGTTTCGTTGCTGCCAGGCGAGTGAGTACAATAGTCAGCGATGCTTTGCCATGGTCGTCGTCGCCTGTTCGCCTTTAATTCAAAGTATACACTTTAATTTATTGACTCCTCTGATTGCGGCATACAATCCAAATCCAAATCCATTTCCCTTTCAGCCAATTATTTTGGGTAAGCAGATTGAGCGTGTCTGACAAATACGCCAAGCAGCCAAATCGAGTGCTGACTGCATTT